AGCATTAGCAGTTGATTATTCCTATCCCTTTTATGAGAAATACTGTATCTTGTAGTCAGCTTATTAAGTTAGTGCTGTAAGTGCTTCTTAGGAGTAAGAAGTGCATTAATCTGCATCTTTGTATTATTATGCTCTGATAGTGAAGTTCTGGAGATGAGGCTAAAGGTGTTTGATGAGAAAAGACCAATAGAAACTTACTGCTGTGAATTGCTAAAAATACAGCTTCCTAGTTTCCTCAATAATACAGATACGTACAATAGCCCACAAATTCCCTGACATTGCCCATGATCTGCAAATACCGAGCACTTTCAGTGTCTTTCAGGACCTGTTTCAGGTTCTGTTAACTGAGGAGACCCTGCATGAGATATGAAGACTCTCAAATTAATTCCTAAATCACGCAGAATTTCAAAAAAAAAAATCTCTATGGTTCAGTGGTTTATATTTTAATGTTAGCTTGCTACCTTGAAGTAGTAGTAGTAAAGACTTAAGTAATTATTTTTTTTATCATTCCCATAGAATGGTACAACTAATTTCAAGGTACTTAAGATTTCTAAGGTGAAAGCAGCTTATATGATTTCATGGATTTTAAGCACAGGAAAAAACCCTGCCTTTGAAAGTACTCAGAACAGTTACAGTGTATAGGCAAGGTTTGAGCTGGGTTGTTACGTTTGCAGATATTTTTGCCATTTTCTCTTTTGTGATGAATTTCAGAATAAAAATTAGAAACTCACATATCAAAGGATTTTTTTTTCCTAGTTCCTGAAACAGAACTATAATAACTATGTGAATTAAAACTATGATAAGACAGGTTTCAGTAAGGAAGGAAATCACAGCACTGAATGTATTAAACTGCTGTTTGCCAGAGAGATAGAGGGACAAGTAAAAAAAGTTTGTCTCTCTCCTAACTTCCTGCATTTTTAACTGTTTAACCATTTTCTATGCCAAAACCTTGTATAAAAGTGAGCATCTGTTTATACAGTGCCTTTTGTGTAAGACAGGATAGAGATGGATGAGGAAGCCTAGTTTGTGGCTGCCATTTGGAAGTCAGCTTGGAAATCCAGTGTGTTCTAAGGGAAAGGAAATTACTTGCTGCTTGTGATCTCCCAAAACATGCCCAGATAGCTGTTTTAAGGTTTAGTAGTCTTGTGGAGATGACAGAAGCTGCACAGTGACGTAAGTAATTAACAGGAGGGGAGGAGGTGTTTTGCACGTTAATAGGTATAATTGTTCTGCTGCCAAACTGTATAGAATTCCAAATACACTCTAGGAAGAGATCAGTCTTGCTTTAGGTCTAGCCCAACAGTATTGTCCTAGTATTGTAAATGAGCTCTTTTGAGAACCAAGGGCAGTCTTTTTTTTCCTGCAAAGTGAAGAAGTAGATTAAATTAATCTACCCTGACCTAGTTGGACTCAATGATCCTTATGGGTCCCCTCTGACTTGATATCTTCTATGATTTGTCCTTATAGCTGAACTCCTGGTGCTCCCCAGGGTGGTGGTGGGTTTGCAGCTGCAGATCAGATACAACCGTGGTGTGCTGTGGAATGTGTTGGCATTTCAACTATTTTGTTCTGGGAGAATTACAGAGGAACGAAATTTCAACTCATATTCCAGGATTTCAGTGTGACATCCTCATCCATTGGCTGCTTTTTTGCTTTTTCTCTCCCATGTCTGCCATCTTTAGCAGTTCTAGCTATGGATGTATGTACAAGTGCCTTCAAACTCCCCTTCTTCAATTGTGGTCAGTATATCCCATGGAAGAATCAAAAGCAGAAATAACCGAATCCCTGGGAGTATTCAGGCTGTAACAGACTGACATGGAGAAAGGGTCAGGAAAGCAGAAATAACTCCTTTCCAGTCACCCGTTCGGCATGCACCTGCCCAAAACCTGATCTAGTTACTAATGCAAAATATGGATTGTTTCATGGGCTGCCAAATTTTTCCATCACAAAATGCTTTCTGTTCAGAGAAAGCAATTTCCTTAGAACAATTTCCTCGGATATGCTTTTTTTTTTTTTTTTTCCCTCCATTCCTAAGGGATTTGCAGTGTAGGTGAGTGGTAAAGTCACTAATATTCTTTCAAAGTTGAGCGTTCCCTTCTCTGACAACATCATTACATGACTTTATGGCATGAAGCTTTCTCTGCTAGGTGGGATAGGTACAGGAATCGAGCTTCCCAGCATGCGTGGAGGAAGATCTTCATGTGTTACAGTGATTTGCAGTAGGTCTTTGTGTCCCTTTTGTCAAGGAAAGCTCATGGTCTCTCATCTTGAATCACTGCCTGTATAATGTGAAAGTGTGGTAACCCCCAAGGCTGGAATTAGGAGCCTGAGAGAAGGCGAATGCGATCTCCTCCTCCGTTACCTGAATAAAACAGGTTGCTCTGACATTCTTCAGTTGACTGAATTTCTTTCTCTATTAGGTGTTTCTGAATGTAAGTATTTCTTTTTTGCATGTAAATTACATTTTTATTAGTGTGAACAAAATGGAGCCCTTTTTTATCTTCCCAAATGTTGTTAGGCTTTTTAATGAGAATAGTTTTATAATATAATTCAGACTTGATGTTGTTATAGAATAAAACCATTAGCAAATTAGATGAAAATGTGGAAAGGGTCTCATTTTCCAGGTTGTATACTGTTTTAGGTTATTTAGGGAAGTTTTAGGATATTGGTGTGCAATATATTTTACAGCTTATAATAAGTAAAAAATGAAATTTTTTTTTCTTTCAAATACTATTTGGAGTTTCAGGAAATTATTCTATAGCTACAAATGCAATTTTGTAATTCCTGTGGCTAAAACCTCCTGTAAAGCTTTTGCTAATAGTGCTCATTAAAGAGGGAAGTAAGCCTACATATCTCAAGGTACAAAACAAAATTGACTAAGGCACTCTAAGTAACAAACTAATTCTAAAAACATTAAAGCTGTCTTCATCTCACATTCCTGACCTGAGGAAATTGCACTGTGTGTCCGAGATGTAACTACTGTAACATAGGTTTTCCCTCCTGGCTGAACCTTGCCCAGCAATGAATATTAAGCTCTGGCCTCTCAGTTAATCCATTTTCTTGTCTTCTCTTTCTGCTTATTTTTCTAATATGAAAAGGAACTCAGATATTCTAACATAATTTCAGTCATAAACTTCTGTGTGTACTCTATAGATTCAGTATTATTTTGGGAGAGGGGATATTCCCACTAGATAACAAAAAGGAAAACGTACATAGCAGCAAATGCCATTTGTAATGGACTGTAGAGGGACTGACGAGGACAACACATGAGAACTTGGAAAAATTTGTGTTTTGTAAGGTATGTGGGATTTCAGTGTGACTAGGAATTACAATCATATCAGTGGCATAGGGTGCAGATCAGGAGGATGTAATGGGAGCACATTTCCCTTTTATAGGGCCTTTGATGCTGAAATTTCTTTTAAAACCCTTACAGAAAACTTAAAAACACTAGCCCTTTCTATCTGAACGTGAAACTGAGGGTAAAAATGCAAACAGTGAAGGTCCATAAACATAGAATTTTCTTCCCCATTCTTAAGTTTCATTAGTTTTTGAAAAAGGATAATTAACTTTTGTGCCTGAAGGCTGCAGCCTCCCACCCCCCCAAAGTCCCGACTGTTTTTTTCTTTGTTGGTCCTAGGGAAAACTAACCCCAACTGAGAGGTGATATCCAGGGTAGCAAGTTGTTGTATTATGCAATATGCTACCACAGATACAGCGATATTGTTAATATAGGGGGAGTTTAAGGACAAATTGATGCCTAATCTGTGTAAGAACGTATCACCACCTGTACAGCTATAATCACTTTAATAAATGCTTTAATTCCAGTAGGAAAGTGTTGTGGTTTTGGTTTTTTGTTTTCTGGTTTGATTCAAACTTCATTGTAAGTCAGTTAGCCCTCTTGTACAGAATGAAAATATGCTGAGGACTATGCCAATAAAATTGTATTTGTTTCAGATCATGTAATTCCTAATACCAAAAAAGTTCTACTGAATATAGGTGTCCTGCAGAGACTTAGGTCTGTACAGGGAGCCACAATGATGACATCCAGGCTTTGCACAACTGTAAGGGCCAAATCATACGGATCTGTGTGGAGTAAGAATGTATTTCATCATGGAGCATGGCCAGCAATTGGCGGTATGAGGGGAGTGTAAGGGATGCTCCCTCACCACAGCCAGAGAATCTGCAGACAAACACTGGAAATGATAAATTTCAACAAAAATGTTTCTTTGATTGAGATGGAATTTCGTGGTACCTAGGTAGGTCACACAGAGTAGATAGTCTAAGGTCAGGGGAATGGCAGACATGTACATTTGCCTCCTCTGTAATCCCTCATCTCCTGGCTGCCCTCCTCTGTTATTTTGTCTGTTTCTAGAGAAAGTTTTTAGAAGACTTTTGTATTGTCTGTATGCATAATGTAAAAGTTTGATGAAATCTCAAAAATGTTTGTGTGGGGGAGAAGACGACACTGTCCAACTCACTTCTCTGTGTTATCAGCCTATTCTTTAGGTAATATTTTGTTGATGTACGTGTTCCTGAATGCATTGTCTCCTTTTTTCCCCATGTTATTTTCAAATTGTCATTCCAGGCTTTTCTCTTTTTGATTTACATCTGGCTTTTTTAGCTCTTTCCACCAGTCTTGTGTTTCCTTGCCAGCTAATTTCTTTCCTTTATCTTGTTTTTCCTTTTTAAAATTTTCTTTCAGGAAACTCTGAAACATGAAGTAGTAATACAGACTATAAACTGGTCAATTATTCACCTTTATCTCCACTTAAAAAATGTTGTTGTCAGCAGTAATAGGAGGAGGGGAGCTTTTCTCAGGAATGCTGTGTACAGTGACAGAAGGATGGAGGTCACTAATATTAGAGTAGAGCAGCCTTTAGAAAGGGGCCTGAGAAGGAAAATTCTGTACCAGTAGTTATATGTAATTGTTGTTATACTTTATATTCAAAATGTCTTTCCAGTGGCAACAGCAGTAACAATTGTTTTTAATTCTCTTTCAGCAACAAGAACAAGATCCGACTAACTTGTACATTTCCAATTTGCCACTTTCGATGGACGAACAGGAGCTTGAGAACATGCTGAAACCGTTTGGGCAGGTTATCTCTACGAGGATACTGCGGGACTCAAGTGGGACAAGCCGTGGTGTTGGCTTTGCAAGGTACTTCAGTGGCGTTAGCCACGTTGGCGGGGTTTTTTTTTCCTTTTTTTAATTAAAAAGCCAGGAATAGGAGGAAAAGGCAGAAATTATTGAAAAGGATCAAGCTTTTAAAGAAAAAGGAGATCTAGATGGAGATGCCAGCAGGGTTTTGTTAATTCTTTCTTTGGTAAAACAAATATGTCTGTCTCAGCTTGCTTAGATGGCCAAATCTGAATCTATTTCTCTTATTGGACAACTATCTAGAACAAGAGTTCACTCTCCACTACTTCCTCCTCTTCTCTGTACTTCTCTTTTCTCCTCTATTTCTAAACCAGTAAGCAAGAGTTATGCAGTGCTTCACAGAAACTTCTGTAACATTTCTGGCTTTTGAAGCTTGAATTCAAGAGAGGAGACCATAAGGAAGAATTCCCCCCCCCCCCCCCCCTTTTTTTTTTGCTTTTTTTTCTTCATGAGTTTCTCTGAGAAAATAGACTCGGTATTGCCCTTTGAACTTCAGCCTTTTGAGTTTTCTGGCTCATTAACATGGTGTCATCTAGGAAAGAAAATATTTTTATTCACTTACAGTAAATCTCACCTTAAATATTTGATAGTTCAGTCAAGCATCTCTCCCAAATCAACAAGAACAAATATTTTCCATAAATTATTAGATACCTCCCAAATATTCTGTCCACGTGAACCTACTTTTTCTCTAGTTAATTGAGTTATTTATTCTGAGGTCTCTTCATCAAAGCCTTTTCTGTGCCTTTCTAATATTTTTTTCTCTCTTGTTAAGTCCTGCTTTAAACCTAGTATGACAATTGAAATTTGGAGACTTTAGATTGGAGATTTCTATCATCAAAAATAGGGTCATGCTTTGAGCAAAGAATTGGAATTCTCAAAATATGTTGTAAAATCTCTGTCAACGGTCAAATTCTAATAATTCATATGTTCATCTGGTATGACAATAGCTCTGTATTTGAACAAATAGCAGCATCTAAAATTAGTGCACAGAAAAAAACTGAGCAAATTGTATCTCCTGGTGAAGCCAAAATTTTTAGCAATTGGTTTCCCTGGGAGTTGACTATGGCTAGTTCACAGCTCTGTGATTATTTTTTTTTTTAACACACACACACCCACCCACCCACCCATTTATTAGCTGGAAAACTGTCCAGCTTCAAGAAGATAAAACAAAGGAACAAAATTAGAAACAATGGGATTATATTCCTTTATTTAAGAGTGCAAACCCAACAATCTCTTCCTGTCTCCTTTAAATAAATCAATAAGTATTTGTGATATTTTTGGTGTAAATTTAATTGGATTTTTATTTCATTCATACATTTGTATTTTTTCATATAAGCACATGCATAAGTATTTGAGTGCAAACTGCATGCAAGTATACACAGAATATGGATGATGTACAAAGCAATATATATCCAGAAGTTATATATACTTTTAATACTGATACTTGCTTAAATGCAACTTTAACTTTTTGGTATTACGAAGGGCAGAATCCAGTAACACCCAAGCTAAAATTCAGTAGGCATTATGAATTTATTCAGTCTTTTCTCCTTAAGCTTGCTTGCCAATTCTACCTTGAATCAGTGGTGTTTTAGGAATACTTTTATTCTAACATAGCTGGAATAGTTTTAGAATTATTTGTAAAAGTCCAAAAGACTTTTGTATATCCAAAACCTCACTTGTATTGAAGACATTAAAAGAGATTAGTTTTAAAGTAAGTATTTTCTCAATAGGTTCGCTATTATACAGTATATGTTATATATATATGTACATAAATTTATTTTTATATATATGTATTTTTTATCCACATACATATATTATACATAATTTATGAAATCAGCTGTTCCTGTCATATCTAATCAGAATTTCTCCCCCTCTCAAGGTAGGTATTGGAACATTTTTGGATAAATATTGGTTAAAATCAAAATTGTCTAAGAAATATGTAGACCTTAAGTATTTTAATTTCTTGCCTTTTGGAACACTTTATTTAACCTAATAAGGGGAGTAATATGTTTTATCAAATCCAGACTTGAGTGTGAAACTAAATTATATTGTTTGTTTCATGTGAGACAGAAAAAAAAAATATTTCTTTGATGCAGATCCAACAATCCAGAGCTTCTTAAAATTCTCTAGAAGGTATTTGTGAAACCATGAAGAAAACTTCCCGTGCAGTCTGGCATTTTGACGATTTTGCTTGCTGTCTATGACTGTATTTCACCAGCCTGTGCAGAAAGGCCATCAGAATTAAAATGATGCCATGACTTCGTAATTTGTAGTGCTGCTGCTTTGCTGCTGAGGCCATTGGCCTAATGGATCTGAATTACAGAACTTAATGAACAAATAGAAAGAAAATCTCTTTTCAACATTATCCGAGTATCATCTTTCAGACATCTGCAAAATATAGTCTTCTTTTAACATATATTTTGTTATATTTGCATGTCTCAGTTGTCTGTTGTAACTTAGTCCAAGCTGGCAGTTAGGACCGACATCTGCATTGCGGCGTAAGGATGTAGCTGCAACCTGCAGAGCCACTCCCAGACTCAAACTAGCTCACCTGTAGTCCACCCAGTCTATTAAGTCTAGTTTTGACAACATAAGTGCACAAACCTGTTCAAGATGCTGGATAAATTCTCAGTAGCCATCCCAGCTGTTCTGTTACTGGTTCCTGTTTTGGAGGTAATTTGGAGACTATTAAATAAGGGATAGGTGCATCATTAGGTTGGGATGATATGTATAAGCTAAAAGCTGCACGGGCAGTTTGAGTCATGTGGTTGGTCATGTTTATATTTGAGTTTATTAGTCTTGAACTGTACAGACACTTCGGAATACTCCACCAAAAGTGGCATTAACATTTGTTTTATGTATCATGGACACTAGGGATTTAGTTATGAATGACTGTGGGTCAGTCTTTCTGCTTCCTTCGAGACAGCATAGGTACTTTGTACTACAGAACAAGCTGTGTTCTGCCCCATTTCTAAGTAAATAAGGATATTGTATCTGCAGTTTGGCACTGACTTTGGCATCAGAGTGCATAAAATGTTAACAGAGTTTAGTTTTAGCTTTCTGAAGTTGTGTGTTCTTAGAAAATTTCCTCTCTATTGCTCACACATGGGAAAGCAAGCCACAAAAGTGAAGTGAGAAAAAGCAAGAAATATGTTTAAAAAAATCACAAACATGGGAATCTGGATGAGTGTTTAATTTATGTAAATTATTCTTTATTTTCTTAGGATGGAGTCAACAGAAAAATGTGAAGCAGTGATTGCTCATTTTAATGGAAAATTCATAAAGACACCAGCAGGAGTTTCTGGTATGTTGCATATATTTCTAACAAGATGTATGAATGGGTTACTGCTTACATAGTGGAAGCCTGTTACTCTGATTGTTGTATCTGGCTTCTCGTTCAGAGGCAGGCTTATTAAAATTAAACTGTGTCTTGTTGGATGACTGTAATACTTGCTCACTTGGAACACAGTATATCACTTCTCTGCTGTAAACCTTTTCTAGGAATCTAGTAGTGTTCTCTCCTAGCAGACAGACAAGCAGCTAAGATGCCTTAAGCCAGCTATGCGCAAATTTACATCCCACATAATCCCAGTTGAAGTCAGGAGACAAGTATGTGTATCAGAACAGAATTTGGCTGGTTGTCCGTGGACAATTTTTTTTTTTTTTTTGAGAGGCAAAAATTGGATTACATTTGCCATCTGTTGATTTTTTTCAAAGTAATTTTCTAATAAAATCTTTTTTTTTTTTTTGAAAAAAATGGATTCTTCAGCAGTGCCTTAATGCCAGACACTTTCATTCATTGGGGAGCTGTGACTCAAGTCAAATGAGCAGGTTTGGAGGTTCTTCAGGGAGACAGAAGGAGGTCAATGAAGAATGCTACTCCTAGCAATATTGTGCAAGGCAAAATGCAGAGAAGCTACATAGTGCAATTTTGTTGTCACGCCTCATCAGTTTGCCTGCTTTTTCTGCACTTTTTCTAAGAGGCAACATGTATATTCCATAAACCCTTAAAAATGAGGAAAGGAAATTCAGAGCAGCAGAGTAAAATAGAAAGAACAGGACAATAAAAGAGGAAAGAATACATGCCTAACATTCCAGGCAGCTTTCAGTAACCGTTTCATTAAGAATCCTAAGCGGGAATTTTACAAATTACATTGTTGATGTGGTTGCTGAAGCCACCTTTATCCCACTGATGAAATGTTCTCTGCAGCCAGACCCTGACACTGAGGAGGTGGAAAGCAGCCCTCGGCAGGCAGACAAGAATGTGGCTTATTTAGTAAAACTACATACATGCCTTATCCCTGAAAGATTACTCCAGCGTGAGGCAGTCTGTGCTGCGGTAGGGATGGAAAGCTGCTACAGAGCACAGGAAACCACTCCCTTCGCCAGCACTAATCTAATTCAGGGTTTTGACTTTCCCAGTTTGGCTTTTGCAAACCCTTTGCATTGGGATTGATTGCCAAGATTATTTAGTTAAAACTCTTGTTATATGTAGGGCCTGTAACATTTATTTTTCTATTTCATGTATTTAGCAATCTGTGTTTTATGAGATGGAAAATCCCTTTAGGGTCAAGGAGATCATGGAACGATTTTCTCTGAACACTGACTGTGCTCTGATCCACCCTCTGTGATTAGTTTTATAGTGCTGCTATGGCTAAACATAATTAAGGGTAAAAAATATGGAGAAACCAAGAGTTCAAATTAACATGTAGGGGTTTCTGTTAAATTAGAACAAGTAAAAAAATGGAACAGAACCTCCTATTAGTGCTTTTTAGTTTGCTCATTTTTATTTTCACTTGCATTATCCTGTTCTCAATGAATGAGCTATCAAGCATGTCATTGCTAATGGTGCTCTGTCTCTGGTGGGCCATTGATGAAGCTGGAGCTGCACCCTTATATGATCAGGTTTAACCAGGTAGAAACAAAAAGTTGCTGCATGGAATTGCAAGAACAATTTCTGCAGTGTGGAGGAAAACATTTACCAGAAAAGTGTAATTAATTAGGGACAAGAAATTTGGACAGAACTGATGATTGTCAGAAAGGGGAAACTAGAGAGGGGTCTCAAAATGTAATTCACCTCATGGACGTTAACTTCCAATGCTTACTTGGCAAAGTAGCCATCTAGACTCCCTGTGTAAATTAGGTGAAGAAGCACACACCTCCAGAGACTTACGTATCTTTGCTGTCAGCTGTCCTAGGGGTTACAAAGGGCATCTAAATGAGTCGTTCCTTTAGTCGCTCATTTACCCTCCATGATGCTGAAAAATGTGACAAATAAGGTGCATGAGGGAGTAGTGAGAACCTTGTTTATTAAAGACTCTCATGGGGTACAGCCCCAACTCTACTTTTCCGTACTGGTGCTGTGGAGTTGTATTGATCCTTGGAAAGGTTTTTATGGAGTTCAAATTCTTCCTGGAGTTCCTCACCACACAGCAAGCACATGTCCAATAATGCAATCTTATTAGAGAATGCAGCTTATGCATAATAATATGCTATAGCCTGCTGAAAAGTGGGGCAGAGTCATGAGGCAACTGTGGTCTTGGACTACCTGCACGGTGAAAAGGGGATGTAGTGGAAAACCTCTTGGACAAACAAAGGTTAGGTAAATGTTTTTAAATAGATTAGCATGCTTCTGGGTTATAGAAGAGCAAGTTCACATACATGGAAAATAAAATCATAGGACTGGAACTATGTTTAAATTAAAACATTGTGTCCTAGAAACTTGGCTAAAATCAGCAAAGGGAGCTGGCTATAAAAACACTGTTATCAGGATGAGGAGGGTAGGAGAGATCAGCCTATAATGAAATAGGTGTGGGAGGAAGAACATCTGTTCAACAAAAACATGCTTTGATAATACAGCTTTGTTATTTCAACTAAGTTGGGGTTTAAGTGGAAGAATGGGTTAAACACAGTTGTAGGAAGCGTAGGTGAAACCTCCTCTTGAGCATGAGAAGATAGTATAGAAAAACCTCTACGGATCCAAGAGGGCCAAGAGTAGCACAGGGCAGTCACAAAAGCATTGACTGCAGAATTGAGTGAACGACTGGGCACTGATGATACTGAGCAAGCTGAACCCAGATGTAACAAGCTATTCAGGCTTTGTTACCCTGCCCTATATTAGCTTAATGAAATATATTCAATATTTAGTGTGTCCTTGTTTGTCTACAGTCAGGAAGAAGGAAGGGTAGCTCAGAGAGCAATTTCAAATGCACTACAAGTTGATAAAATCCTAAACCTCCTGGGAGTGGTGTATTAGTTTCACCATTTGTTCTAGCTGGGGTTTGTAATTTTGTTATGTCAGTTATTTTAATAGTTTGTTCTGTTTTCTGGACTATGGCTTTCTGTCCATTTCTCTCAGGACTTGGATTTTTGTACTTCATTCTCTTCTTAACTGTATGTTTGTTACGTGATTGCTATAATCTTGAAATAACTTTTGCATTTGGTTCTACTTTACTCTTTAAAGAATTACTGTTTTCAGTGAATAATGTGATATTTAGAGCTTTTTTATTCTCCTGTGAAACGTGAACCTCATCATGTGAATTGGAGGAAACAGAGACTAGACTAGTGCGAGGAGCCAGGACACAGCAGATGAGTAGTGAGGACAGGGCAGCGTACATAGCCTCTCTCCACTGAAGATATACTTAATGTTCACTGTCTTTTTGTCTTGTGGTGGACCCATATCAATTGTAGAAATGATCTGCTGGGCAAAATCGTGAAAGGTATGTCCTCCATATCACAGCAGCATGTAGCTCCATGACAATACATGAGAATAATTACATAAATAATTACATAAAGCAGCTGTGCTGTAGAATACTTAAGGTATACATAAGTCTGACTGTATTTGTCTCTCTTACCTTTAAAATGAAAAACAGAGAAGTTAAAAAGTTACAAAAGTTTTATGCCTATTGTATAGGCTTTATGTATTATTTAATACTGTTTTTAACTGAAAAGTAATTCCTATGTTTTTGTTTTAATGGGCATAAGGTAGAGAGCATTTTGCTGAGCAGCCCATACCATTTTTTACTTTTGCTTCAGGAATGGTGGGCTATAGTGGTCACCCAAAAATCATGGGTTATTCATGATCCACCCTCCTCTTCCCACTTATGGTAAAGATATTGGTCACTCAGATGGTGTTTAGGGAGGAAATTGAAGACAGGTGTGAGAGCGCTGCTCCTGTCTATGCTCTTGCCTGTAGACTAGAAAGAGGTCCACCAGGTATGGTAGACACTACTGTTTGAAATTATTCTGGTCTTGGACATCTTTCTAATGCAGGAGAGGTGTGAAAATGGAGCCTTGAAGAAGTTATCTCATGGCAATAATTTCTGAGCTTTTTCTATTTGCTTACCTTTACAAAGTAAAGATCTCTATATGGTAAATTCAAGCTGCTTAATCATGAGCTCACATTTCTTGGTTATCTTGCACAGATCTTTTAGAAATAATACATGAACCACAGTCTGAAAACCACTGCTAAAGGGTGTCAAGAGATCACAATGCTGGTGTTTACTCCTGATTGTCACACTGAAGGCAGAGGAACCAAGATTTTACCTATTAGATCAAAGATTAAAAGCTTTTACTCCTCTAATTCTTATAGTTTGTAGTTGTTGCTTAGTTTTAAGAAGCAACATTGGAATAGAAAAGAAAAATACGACTTAAAACCACTCAAAATATACTCCTGTGATGAATTATTAAACCCTGTGTAAATTATTAAAGAAATGTAACCCCAAGCCCTGCATTTAAGTGAAGATTAGGACGGTGAAGAGTATATATTTCATTTCTCTTTAAACATATAAAGCTGCTGATATTTGCTCCTCTGTTCTGCTCTGATGAGACCCCACCTGGAGTACTGCATCCAACCCTGGAGTCCTCCGTTCAGGAAAGACATGGACCTGTTGCAGGTCCACAGGAAGGCCACAAAAATGATCAGAGGGATGGAATACTTCTACGAGGAAAGGCTGAGAGATTTGGGGTTGTTCAGAGGGGAGAGGGCTCTGGGGAGACCTTATTGCAGCCTTTCAATACTTAAAGGGGTCTTATAAGAAAGATGGGGACAGATTTTTTTAGTAGAGCCTGTTGTGATAGGACGAAGGGTAATGGTTTTAAACTGAAAGAGGATAGATTTAGATGGGACATAAAAAAGAACATTTTTTATGATCATAGTGGTGAAACATTGGGACAGGTTGCCCAGACAGGTGGTAGATGCC